GCAGATGCTTGCACCTGATAGATGGTGATTCCTGAAACTGCTGCTTTATTATGGTTGTAACGCTGTCTCTGACTAAGCCCTAAATAAAGCCAGGCTTTTATTAGGGTGAGTTTGTTACTCAGGGACTGATAGGCTGTGGGGATTGCAGATTGAGAGGGGTGGGGAGATGGGGAGAACTGAGTTTAAGCCTTACCATATCAACTCTTTATGGCTCATGCATTAGAAATGTTCATTCTAGAAGAGCTAGAATGAAGAGTGAAAATGCTTTAGAGTTTTGTTGTTTTTTTGTTGTTGTTGTTTGTGGTTTTTTTTGTGTGTGTGTGTTTTTTTTGTTTGTTTGTTTTTTTTAAAAAAAAAAAGGTTAAAGAGCACGTATGTAAATGGACTAAAGCAACAGAAAATCCGCCAAAGGAGATCTATGTAAGGAAAAAATAAAGTAAGCTTAGTTTGAAGCCTTAGAAATTTCCATCACTAGTTCATGCCTCTTAATAGCAGGATTCTGGCATTTGTGTGATAAGATGAAGGCTGTAGAATGCAATTTCAATTCATGAGGAATCAGCTTTTCATTATTGCAGATTATTTTTGCTTTGAAGCATAGGGTTAATGGGCAAGGCTCTGTGTTTTAGTGCAACTACAACAGTTCATCCAATTTAGAGAGACAAAAAGAAATAAAAGGGAAGTGGAATTAGCACAAGGAAATTATACAGATGTGCAAATGACAGCTTCTGAATGCTTAGTGTGAAATTTCTCTGTAAGGTTCATGCAGATCCTCAAGGGATGCAGCATTTTGAAATGATTAGCTCTTCACATGGTAAAGCCTTCTTCCTTGCAGTCATAGCAACAACTCAGAAGCTCCTCTTTTTTCCCATCTCCTGTACCTTGGCAACAGGGGTGCCGCAGGTTTTTAGTCTACTTCTGGTTGGCCCTTCATCTGTCCAATACAAATTCTGAGTTAAGCCAACTTTTACAAATGTGATGACCCATTTCAACAGATGAGAAAGGAGGGATGCAAAGTGAGAATCAGGTAGTGATCTGGCTTGGTTTGTCTTACCCCTCTGGTCTTGGGTTGCAGCGGGAAAGGTGAATTTTGCCTGGTTTGTAACAATCCTTGCTGGCACAAAGGAAACTATAGCAAAGGAAGAGTTTCTTTTTAAATTTTATATACCTTTTTTCAGTATTTCCCCTCTTCCATGATTTCACAATCTGTCTCTTGTCACTATTGTGTTTGCATGCTCACTCTGAGTAGCAATCTTTTTAATTCCTAAATTTGTCTAGGTTTAGTGACTGGTAGAGTGCTGATGTTTCCATGTCAAGTTACCCCCTAAGTGTGTTAGTTAAAGGGAGATGTAAGCATTACTAGAAAACCACTGTTGTTACCCCCATTATATGCCCGTCCGTGAGCCAGGCACAGCATTTGGATCTTCCTGTGTGATAAGCATTCTTCTGCATTCCTGTCTCTAAGGGTTTATTAAAATGTTAGTGTTTGTCTTGGGCATGAGTTTTCAACAACTGAAGTACAGTTATATGGCATCTTCAAAATAAATGGGGAATGAAGTGGGAACAGGATAAAGGTAATTTTTTTTTTCTTAATGTTTGTCACTTGTAGAGAATAGAATTGTCTTTAAGTTGGAGGACATCATGAGCCATGTTTACTTTTGTCGTCCTATCTTGACCAAGGAAAAGGAGGATTTCTCAGGGTTGTCCTGCCATGTTCTTCAGCTTTCTGCAACTTCTTTGTTTGCCTTCATGGGACTATCACTGCAGCCTTCCAAGAAACCATTGCAGTAGATTTACAACCTAACTTTTCTTTCTGTTACTGGCTTTTGAATCAACAAGATTACAAAATAAGGTGGTGTTTTCACCCTGACTGTCTTATGTATATGTCCAAGTCATAGGAGAATAAAATAACATACGTAATTTCCTGATTAATGTAAAAAGAATAGAGGGAGAAGCTAACTGTTCCTGTTGATTTGAGACAAGAACAGCCAGAAGTAAAAGGAGAGCCTGGAGTCCATTGTCACTAATGAGCCAACAAAAAAGTGGCATTGTCTGCTGCACTTACCACATTGCTAGGTGTCTTGGCCATCCCTTCCTCCTTGAGAAATGGTGTGAGGCAAGTGGTGTGGAGGAAGTTTCTGAAAAAGTAGACAGGTTTGCATTCCAAGACTGTGAGTCTGACATCTTCCGCAAGATCTTACACTCGCGTAACAAAGTCAGGTTTGTTTACGTATATTTCTCATTGGCCTTTGTAGTTGGAACAAAGACTTCAAAGACGGTTGTGTTTACATGGTCAGTGCAGAACACAACTTCGTTCTACACCTTCCCCAGGAACCTCAAGCCCTTCTGTTTTGGACAGGATGCTGCTTAAAACAGTCCTTGAAATGTGCTTGGCAGTGTGAGATTTGGCAAGAACATTAACTGCTTTGAATAAATCAGATAATCTGAGCCAGATATTCTAGATCGACTGCATGACTGAAACTGGGGTTTATTACTGATTGAATGCAAACCTTTTTATTTGTGTCTCTACTCAAAAGCACCACAAAAGGTAATGGTAATGTTGCTAAGGAACTGTTTACCTGCCAAATGTATCTGTATGATGCATGAGGTGACCATGGGAACCAATTTGGTGGCAATTATTTAAAGAAAACCTTGCGGTGAAATGATTATTGCGTGTACACAAAATATTTCTGCAGTTGCACTTGAAAAGCCTGTTTCTGGGAAAAGATATAATAACTAGAAAACAATTTAGAAAGAAGGGTCAGCACAGGTCCTGCATGGAAAAACACATTACTAAGGCCATTTTTTAATGTATATTTTACAAATCAAGTATTGAAAATAAATAGGAAAACTGTATTGGGTTATCAACTTTATGCAAGTTTAAAACAGTTTGGTATATATCCCTAAGGGACTTAGTCTTTTGCCTGATTTCATTTTTCTTAAAAAATTAATTACAGGTTGCTGTATTCCCCCCAGAGAACTTATTAACTATGTCTCTCTCTGCAAAGACTGTTTGGCTCTCAAGAGATAAAGTGCCTTAGGCTAAAAGCTGCTGATTCCATTTCTGATTCATAAAGAAAATTTTTAATCTTATTTTTATCCTTACTGACATTTTTCATGAGTGCTAACTAATAGCACTACTGTAGGATCAAGGTTGTTACAATGTGGTCTTATAAGGGAAACATACACTGACAAATGATTCTTCAGGGATTTAATTTTACTTGAAAAGTTATGTACAAAGATTATTTTCATGGATATGTGTCCAGTTCAAATAAAAGTTTCCAAATTTGCAATATAAACATTGAATCAATAGGAAATTCTCCTATTGCTTGAAACAGTTTTTATGGAATATGTCTACTTACAAGTTGCCCTTGGGATGCTACCAAAATACATGTCTTAGTGTCATTCTACCATAAACCATTACCGTTATAACTGAGAAATGAAGTATAAAGGAAATCTGAGATTATAGTTGGTGTAAGATTGCATTAGAACCTGTTTATTTTCCCAGTTATGGTAGCTGACAACTGTCATCTGTATCTTTGTAGAGTAATTAGGAAGGAATCATTATAAAAGGATTTCAGATGCCATGTAGGAGGGTAACGTTTGTTTGGATAATTAAGGGACATTTCAGTGTTAAACAGTGGTGAGAATGATTGTGCTTCAGATGAGAAATTACTATGGAAAATTGAACTTATGGATGGTTCAGTATGAATAATTACATGGATCTGTTTTTTTTTGTGTGTGTGTGGTTGTTTTTTTGTTTGTTTGTTTTTTAAAGATAGAGATTATTTAACTCTTAAGTTATTGTAATTGGGCTTGCCTTATTTTTAAAAAATATATCCGTGGGCTTTATTTTTTTGGTTGGTTGTTTTTAAGCCACTTCAAATTGCAAGTCTCAGTCTCACTCTCTCTTTCTTCAGCTCCCAGTCTAGTGGTACAACCAAGAATAGTCTCTTATCAATTCAAAATGAATCAGTCTCTTTCAGAAAAACGCTTGGAGTCCTGTATGTATTTGTTTACAGACGTCATGACTCATGCTGGGGCTTTGCTTGCAAGTGCATATAACAAGAAGTGCATTTTCAAAGTCTGTAACATCTCAGATTAGTTAGTTGTTTGGAGATATTCTGGTAAAGCTGGAACAGATTTATGCACATACTCCATAGTGGAGTTTGAAGATGTGTCCAAGTACAGAAAACTGGTTTTGTGCATATATTTTGTACGTTATTTGTATGTGTGAAGGTACTTTAATATTGTAGAGAAGAGTATCTGTACAATTAATACGGGAATACAACTAGGTAGATGGTAAAGGTTTTGAAAAGGAAACATTTGAATGCCCGAGCTTGTAAATTCAAATAAATAGCTTTAGTTTACACTGTAAAAGTAAATTAGAAGTGGCAATGTATTCAACATCTTTTTTTACTTTTTTCTTTTTTTTTCCAGATTTCTGAAAACGTGTTGACTTTTTTTATTATTATTTATTTTCCTGTGTGTTGGGCCAGTTGTCAAAACAGTGACTTCTGGGGTCAGTCCTATTTTCAGTTCCAAGTGGTGAAGGGGATCAAATGCTTCTCTTCAAGTTAGCTTCAATGTGCTCACTTTGCAATAATAAAGCAGAGTAGTCAGGTTCTTTCTTACTCTAGGAAATGAACTTTTTTCAGTGCCCATTTGGAAGAGGATTATGGTACACTATTGAAACTAAGTTATCTGAAAGTCTGAGCTTACCTGATTTCACTATCAGTTTATCTACCAGGAGTTCACGTTGTCCGAGTTAATGTTCAACACTTATTTGTGTTAATTTGAAGGTCTGAGTTTAATTTATTTAACACAACATGTGTATCTCCTGTATAATTTTAAAAAGTATATGTTTTTTATTTTTCTGTAGACAGAGGTTCATTCCTCTTCAATAGTCACGAATGATTGAAAAGTAACTGTTATAGATAATGTAATGACCAATTTGATAGGCTAAAGGTATTGCTTAATTAAAACTTCTGTTTGTCTTTCAGACACCCCGAACGTGTGAAAACTTTATCAAACTGTGCAAGAAGAACTATTATGATGGAACAATTTTCCACAGATCAATTCGTAATTTTGTCGTGAGTATTGAGCAAATCCCATGTAATGCACATACATGATGTCCTCAGAATATTTATTTAGCTTCTTCCGTGCATGACAACTTGCAATAGAAGTATGTTAAAATAGACCTTCAGAACTAGGATCGTCCTAATTTACTAAATTTGTACTTTACTGGTCTTACTAACTGCTGTCTCTGACTAATACTGTCACAGAGTATCACTGCATTTAGTAGTGTTTTCACTGGCATTCCTGACAAAGCCTTTGGGAGTCATTGCCTTGGCAAGGAGGCAATCAGCCTCCCCAAGCTGTGGGTGGGTGGTTAATGAACAGAAGGGGGGGGAGGGGGGGAGAGATGCTAATTTGAATATGTAATTGTGTGGCCTGTTGAAATCATATTCAGATGAAACGTCAGAAAGCAGCTGAACTTTTGTTTCAGGTTGTGGTGCTTGGATACTGTCCCATTATCTTTTCCTGGGAGTGCTCCAGGATGTGAAGGAGTTAAAGAGCACTTCTTGAAACAGAAAGCTGACTTTAGTAGTCAAAGACCTAAGCTTTCAACTTGTATTAGAGAGCTCCATATATAGTTGTAAACCATTGGCCTTCATATCCTATTGAACACAGCTGGTAGAAAGAAGCAAGAGATGCTCTCGTATAAGTGAAGCTCCTTCTTACAATGACAAACAGTTTGGATTCAAACTGGATGGTCATTTTAATCATATGCTTAACTTTGAGTATGCCAGTATTTACATACTACTGTATGCCTGAGCCTACATCAAGCTTTTATAAAGATATCAAGATATAATCCTTCAACAACGGTTTACTTTCCTTACCTCTTTCTGGGAGAGATGTATCTAATAACATGGTAGTCTGAAAAAGTGTTTTGAATTCCAAGGTTTAATTCTCAGGATTGAAACTTAGATTTGGCTACTTACCAGCCTAGTTAATAGATTTTCTAATGCATTTTTTGTTTAATATCAAGACTGCCAGATGTTATGAGTCCTTGAGACGTCTTTTTGCTACTGCAGGCCATCAGAAGGCCTAGAAATATGACCTTTAATTTACATAGGTACAGTCCAGGCAGCTTAGGATATTGTAGCTGTACTGTAAGTTCCTTTCAAAAAAATTAGCAACCTGATCCTGAAGGCAGTGCACGTCTTTCAGAGGACATCACTGAATGTTACATTCCATCCTGCCATCCTAAAAAGAGAGAGAGAGAGAAAAGAAAAGCTTTTTTATTCTGGCAGCACTATATATCTCAGTTCATAGTTTAACTCACCATTAAAATTGTGCTTGTGTGTTATTACTGCGTAGCTAGTCATGTCACGCTCCCTCTACTGTCGTTGAGCTACGGAATTTTATTTCTGTAGACCCTGCATATATATAAAGTGATTAATTTTGTTGCTAAAAGATTGGTTTCACATGGGGATTTTTCCCATTGCAGACAGTGAGGAGGATACTGTGAAACATGGATTCAAATACAGAAAATATTCTACATCCTCTAATTTTGCCTTCACATCATGTGGAGGATTGGTAGCAAAATATAAAGCCTTTTATGTTCCAAAAGCAATGCATCATCAGTTAAAAAGCAGGTTGCACCCTAACACACAATAGAAAGGCTGATCTGGTTAACCCATTTGAGTCTGTTTATTTTCTTATTTACCCCCTAGAGACCTATTATTTTTACAAAACTGTCATTTTGCTCTTGGATAAGTAATGTAGGAGATGACTGCCAGCTGATAAAAGAAACTCCAAATAGGTAGTAATGGTTTCCTTGTTGCTAACTTGTCAACATCACGTAGTATAGAAGGAAGAAAAAATAGTAGAATTGGCTTTTATGGCTTGTATTTAATGTCTTTCACACAGATATGTGTGTAACGTATTGATTTTATTTTAATTCTGCAGATCCAAGGAGGTGATCCGACTGGAACAGGAACAGGTAAGATTGAGTTTTCGTTATGTAAGCTATTTTCACTTCATGTGCGATGTTGTTAATTTGTTTTCAGATACCTTGTAGTTTATATCCAGATACCTTGTAGATTAAAATTCTTTAAATGATGATCTGTGGTATTTCATGAATATTTCTGCTTTAAAGTACAGGTTTTGTAGTTTTATTTTTTATAACCATCTTTACTGTGCTTAAAATTTCATCCCATATTTTCTAATTGTAAAACATGGCATTCTTCCATGTAGAATTCTTGTTGGGTCTTTGCTTCCTTTTTGTTTCAGAATATAAATAAAGGAAAATTAAAATGATTTTACAGCTGGCCTTCCAGGGCAAAGAACAAAGGAAGAAACACATTCATGCAAAGTTACTTTCAAATTCAGCGTTAATGAAATACTTGAGACCTGCCTCTGAGTTGGGGAATGGCCAGATACCATCTGTTCTCCCAGCTAGTTGTCTTGTAAAGCCCAATCTTCTCTTTTTTCTAGTGTTTAGGTATCACTGTTACTAGATTCTTCTGCCTGTTTCTTCTCCGTAAGTGTAGGAGATATGCAAATCAGTCATATCAGAAATGGTCAGGAGACACAGCAGCTGAAGGATCCTCAGAGTGTTTCCTACCACATTTGATATGTCATGTAATATTCCTAGTTGGTGCTGCAAATTTGCTCATTATCCACTTGTACCTTTTATCTACCCACTTGTAGGTGTCACCAGCCTCCACAGCTCCTTGTCTGGTCTTGTGGAGTTCTGTGCATTTTTATTCCAGTTCATACATGCGTCACTTGTATGCACAAGCACTGTATTCTCTGTGTGCTCACAGACCATCCAAAAAAAGATGCCTTTGTAATTGTTAAATACTTTAGCACTGTTTACTTAGTAAATAATATTAGTGTGAGTTGCCCAACACCTTTTCTTCTGCATGTTCCTCAGCAGTTGCATACTCTAAGACAGACTAGTTAAATGTTCTGATTTTGATGGTAAAAGCCTGTTAACAAGACTTATTACCGTATATGTGTGGACTGATAAAAGAAATACAATTTTATTTTGTTAGAAGGGAAGTTTTGGTTCAAATGCCAAGAGACATAATAAGGAACGTTGTTTAAAATGAGAAAGGTGTCAGGAGACTGGAGAAATTTAATGGGTTGACTCAGACAACTTTCAGACTTTTGTAGGGTGGAGTTCAGATCTCGCTGTGAAATGAAAATTAACTTGCTGGTGTCATTCTTGTCTCTGTAAATGCAAATGGTAAAAGTAGTGTAAGACAGCACAATTAGCAGTTGGCAGAGGACTGGCAGTGCAGCTGTACTGAAGGTCAAGACTCTCCTGACAGAGGAAGTAGGAAGTAAAATGCAAATAAGACCATTGGAGAAAAAACTCCTGTGTATATTCTTTTATTTTTTTTTTTTTAAAAAGAGCATAATGATGTCTAGTCTTTTCCATCTTGTTTTCCTCCTTGCCATTCTTAATTAAATATGAATATATTGTAGACAAGGTATCTTGCAAACAACTGTGAGGGCTGTTAAAGTTCCAATAAAATGGACAGTTTGCACCCAAATAAGAATGGCACTTGCAGATATTCAGATTCTGGTCACAAAATGGTTTTACTGTTTTGAACATAGCTGAGTTTAAAATAACCACTTATCTAATGTGCTAATAATAGTATCCCAAGAAAAATATTGCAAATGGCAGTTTGGTAAGCTACTGGACTTCTCTTGAACTCCCATGCCTGTGTGATTAATACTTACTAAATGAAGCTTAGAGGGTTCACATAGTGCAAGTAGTCTGTGCTCCTGATTACCTGACAGATCCTGCACACTTGGCTGTGAGGCATCTACCAGCCAGCATAATTTCACAGAGATTGTGTTTGCATAATTTAGCCAGTCTTTGGTGCTGGGATCTAATTGTAACATCTCCAGTTGTGTGATGTGGTTTTACATTTAATTTAGCTTTGTGGAATCTCTGATCAACAAGATCAGATAGATTTCCCGTAAGTTTAAGAATGTGTTTTACTCTGTAGTTCTTCTCAGAGTTCTGTAAAAGGCAGAAATTTCACGTGTATTTCAAGCTACCAAAGCCCTTCTGGCTTCTCATTCTCTCCACAGTGCAGCTGGAGGAAAGTGTGGCTAGGCAGCAGTATAGAAACATGGGAAAAGCAGAGATACTCTCCCAGGCTCCTAAGATGCAAAACTTTTGGTTCACTAGTTTGTGTAACATTAATGCAATCACAAGAACTTGTGTCAGGAAAATTTCAGAGTAAAGCACTGGGTTTCGATGATTTGTACCTTTTTCATTTGAGTCTTGCATTTTATTTGTAATATAAATTCCCATTTTGATTTCATCTGGTAGCTAGAAGCAATTTGTGTTTCCTTGATTCACCACTTCTCAGTGAAAAGCTGAATCTTGAAAGCTAAGAAGTCCATAGAGATTTAATGGTCTTTAGAGGCTTATTGGGAGAGTAAACAATTTGACTTCTGTAATATCAGGGATGTATATGACTAGAACAGGGCTTTCTTCTCAGATGTTTCAGCTGGTGTTAGTGAAGACTATTCAGGGTTACCCTTTAAACTCCTTTATTTTAAACTACAAGAATTTTTTCTGTTGGGGCCTTTTATAGACTCTTAAAGACTGGAGACAAAAGGATGTTTCTTTCTGCTTTAACTGAAATTTAGTGGCTAAAATAAAAAATAAAAAATAAAAAAAAAAGCAAAACACTTTCTCTACGCCGATGCATGGAAAGTGCATTAAGCCTGTATATATTTTTGTTTTGTTATGTTTATTTACTTAGCCCTTGTCATCAACTCATGAGCTAGAACAGACTTATTCAAAAAACACCCCACCATTTGGTTTCAGTCATCTGACATTCATCCCGTGTTCAGCAACAGGTGTCAGGTTTATGGTTGCAACACCCCAACGCTTAGATGATCACCCACTCTGTTACTAACTAAGCCCAGGACTGCTCAGCTTTGGGGTGGGTTTGGGCATGACTGAAGGTTACATGTCATACGTACACAGAGGGCAACTGTGTGCTCAGCTCACCTAGATTTGGAAGCATTTCACAGACATAAAATGCCCAGCTGGGAGGGGTGTCACTGACTGTCTGCTTCCACAGCTCCTCCAGCTGAACAGTTCTGTCTGTAAGCAGCACTGAACCTTATTTCTTTTTTTCCTTTTTTTTTTTTTTTTTATGCAGCAGTGTGATGTGTCCTTCTTCAGTCTCTTGTTAAACTGTCTTAAAAGTAACTAAGACCTAGCTTGTGTGTGAAGGACAGAAGGACAACTGACTACTGGAACTCAGTAGTTAACCTTGGGACAGGAGGAAGGAAGAAACGTGGATTATGACATATAAAAAATGAGGTACCATGCTAGGAAAAGAGTGAGGAAATAGAGCTTTAGCTTAGCTTAGCTGGCAGAACTGCATTGCCAAAGCAGTTAGATATACTGTCCTGTAGGTTTGATACCAATTTAGAGGGCCAAACTAATTTTCTGCAGCCATCAACTTCATGTTTCATAAGACTACTGGGAGAAATCTTATTGTGCTGCAGCAGCTTATTTCGTTTCTTTAACAAAATAACCACCCATAGAGGCAGTATTCAGAGCAATAAGCTGAGTCATGGTCATTCTTTGTAATGATTAATTATTTGAAAATGAATTTTACATTTGTGATGTATCTCTTTTCCTGCTGTTCATAACAACTAAGTGGTTGAACATGGTGAGTAATTCTGTCTAGCTCATGGTAGTGCAAGTGGAACAGCTGCTCTGTATTTTCAGTGTTCCAAATAATAGAAGAAAATTTGCATGTAGGAAAAACAGGTTTAATATCCTGAACCCTTTGTAGGAAAAAATAATTAATAAAGAAAACTATATGCAGGGCATTACATTTTTAAAGCAGCACAGGCATTTTTCAGCTACTCTTGCTTGCATCAAGTTGGAATAATAAATTGGTTTGAGTGTGCTTCTGTCTGTTTTTGAATGCAAGAAGGCACAATGGAGGCATCTAATACCTGAAAAGTCCAAGATAAAGTACCACTGGTAGGTGGACATTCCATTTTGGTTGGTGTAAAGCAAAGCACTTTATTTCCCCCCCCCTCCTCTGAACCTTCAGTAGCAGAGAGACAGAGCACTGTGGACAAACTTGGTCCGTTCCGCAGTGAGATTTCCTAGCAAGGAAAGCTCCTAAAATGTGGCTAGTTTTGTGGCAGGATTGAAGTTTGGTGAAAGGGCAAGAGCAAGACCTTTTTATCTAGCAGCCCCTTGGAAAATCCAGCCTCTGCTATGTGGGTTAAAAGTACTGTGTCCTCTTATCTGAAAGGAGAGAAGTACTTACTGGATGAGCTAAGGCTTTCATATTTGCAAAATGATTCAAGAATCTCACTTGGAAAGCTCTATAGAAGTGTCAGATGTTATTATGTACCTCGTTGTTCCAAATGACAAGAAGAAAATTACAGAAAGTAAGCCATCATTTTTGTGAATCAGAGCCCTCCCACTTCCTTACCACTGCTTAGCAATTTTTATGCCAGAAAAAGGAAGGATTTATTTAAAATCACAACTGTCATGAATGATTATTCCCAGCCCACACCTGGCTTTTGGAATGTTACATTTCTGAAGCTTTAGGTGCATCTCTCAGCTCTTTGCAAGAAAGTTGTACAACTTCTGTAAATTCACCAAAAAAACTTACTTATTGGGGGGGGGGGGGGAAATTTAGAAGGAAGAAAGACTGTCAAATTGTTTTTTAGTTCAAAATGCAATCTGAAAATGTGTGTGTTTTTTTTTTTGCTCATAGCTGCTAATGTGTGATTGCTCCAGGTGTCAGTTGGTATCTATTCAGTTTTTCACTATCAGCACGAGTTGCAGATATGAGGCTGAATCATGCTTCAGGGTGCAATCACAGTGCAGGATACGCGCTGCTGTTAGAAGAAGGCTAGTCTATTGTGGTAGCTAATCCCAAATCCATTTCCAGCTTTATGCAAAACATGTACAGAGTTATCAATCCCTATCCATTCTGCACTCCATCCTCAGTCCAGCAAGCAGAACCTGTGTGGTATGTGTCTGTTCCCATGTAAAATCCCCTTGATTTTAGTAATAAAAGCCCCCAGAATATTTAACAGCACTTCTTGTAATAGCATCTCAAAAACATTTCAGGTCCAGTAGGCACACAGTTCCACTGTGACAGAAAATAATCTTATCTGGGAGTAAACCAAGAGGAAGGTGAGTGGCAGGCAGTGGTGCCTGCTGTGAATCAAACTCCCAGACACGATTTTTGTTTTCCATAGGCTTTGCCCACAAGCTGGGAAGCCAGCTTTGGGGTGAGTTTTTTGCATCATCGTGACTCCATATATAGTCAGTGGTGATCCGTGCTCTCTCTCAGAGGAAGATTTGGGGAATAAAGGAGGAGCCTCCTCTCTGTATGGAATATGCAGAGAGTGTAACATGAGAGGGCTCAGGCTAGACAGTGTGATGGTGCCACCGCCTCCCGTGTCTGCCTGCATCCACTCTGCATTCAGACAGTGAGGAAGATGGCACATCCACACCTCCCAGCAGTGTTGAGCATAAATGCAGTAAAAGCTGTAAGATACTTCAGAGTGCCTCATACTTATTAGTAGTAGGCTTGGAGCCTGGGAGCTGTTTTCTCAAATTTACACTGAGCTCTTCGGTAGAAAGCAAAATGCAAGAGTCTAAAGTTCCTGTTCCAGACCCCAGTGGTTGAACATTAGACACTGTGCTGCCATGCCAGTAGACTAATGAGGAATTTGTACTTAATCTTCAGAGAGAAAGCGATTCTGGTTTTCAGTAATTAAAAATATATATGCTTTTAACTCATTATCTTCTAGCTTGCTACGTCTGGGCCCGCTTCAAGCAGATACTTGAAGCTTGGAACAATTCCAGAGGTTAGCAGGAGTTTGACAAACAGCACATTCTGGCTATTTTTAATTTAAAGGGAACACTTTTTTGTTGTCATTCTTTAAAAATAAAAATCTTTCCTGTATTGCTGGCTCACTCTGTGCTGTGTCTCCACCTCCCCTCGCCAGCCCGTGCTGCCAGGCCTCCGCAGGCACTTCAGCTATGTCCTTTCCAGGACGTCTGGCCTTTTGGGCGGATGCTGCACAGGCCATTCTCTGCTCTTGCCTGCAGCTCTCGGGCAGACAGGATTAGCCTTGGAAACAGCTGTATGGCAGACAGGGAGGGAGGGAGGGACTGGATCTGATGCTGTAACTATCTACTAAAACGTTAGCACTTATTTCCAAGAGTACTGGAGTGAACCAAAGTTAGCCATCAAATATACGAGATTAATTCTGACCCTCGGTGTATGAGCTGGAGTGAAATCATACAAAAATAACTTCCAAAACCTAAAGATCATGGCTCATTGCTCCTGTCTGCAAGTGCTCAGGTCTGGTTGCTTGTTGTGCCAGAGAGTCTCTCTGTCACTCGCTGTTTTTCTCTTGCCTTTTGAATTATTTTTCTTACAGCAAAGGCTGCAGGGGTGAGTCCACTCTCTTTGAACAGCTTGACAAGGCTGTAATTCGAGCATCTGCTGAAAGCCGTCAAAGGGTGTAGCAGACTCAAGGGTTTGGCCACTTGCTGCTGTGTACCATCGCAATTGGCCGTGCTTATGTTTGCATGTTATCTGAAAATTTCTAGGCAACAAACAGTCCTCTGGGTTAGGAGTGATAGTGAGTGCATCTGCTTTGCAAATAATGAGGAGTTCCTTCAAAAGATCTTTGAAGCAATATTACACATTTCTCAAAGGGAAATGTGACTGCAGCTGGTTACTGAGGTGCATGAGCTCTGTCTGGGGTGGAGGAGAGGAGTGCAGGGCCCAAAGCAATGAGGGTGGGAAGGGAGAACGTCTTCCAGTCCATGTCCAGCTGCCTCAAAAGGGAAGGCTGAATTTGCAAAAGGCAAACAGGGAGAGAGAAATAGCACACAGAGTGTGGTGCTGCTGATGGGGGCCTGTAGGCTCTGCAGGTGTGTTTCTGGTTTCAGGCAGCACCTGGAGCCCCGCTACATTCTGATCCCGCCTTGTTTATTTGCAACCTACCAGAACATGGCTTTTCTGAACAAGGCAGGTAACAGGCGCTACACGAGTAAACCTCCTGGAGCAAAGAACACACAAGGAGATTCATTAGCAAAGAAAATTTTTGGCTTCTGGTAAAACATTTTGTTATAGGTTGAACACTTTGGATTTGGCTAGAATAGCTGGTGTTTGGATTCATCTTCAAGGCAATGGAGCAGACTGCAGCTGTACCACATCCCTTTCACCCACTGTTGGAAGAGGTTGTCATACAGAATCAGCTGATGTGATTTAGCTCATCTTAAAATATTTAACAGCCAAAAGATTTGCTGAAGTAATCACTTCTCCTTTACTCTTGATTACCGAAAACCCCTACAGGGTTTGTCTCTTTTTGCTGCCTCTTGTCAAGTTGCAGAGCAGGCAACATGCAACTCTATTAATAAGTCTTTTGAACATGATTAATTGGGTTTTTAAGTGGGTCAGTTTCTTCCAAAATTTCTCGCTTACTTAGTTCCTCTTGCACTTGCAACTGTCCACCTGCAATTCTTTGTTTTCATGCTATTATCTGAAACTCTATTTTCATTTGATGCACACTTGTGATTTTCTGCATACAATTTTCAGTAGGAGCCAGTTTTACTCTTCTCAGCTTTATTTGCAGCTTGCCTGTGCAGCTATATCATCAAATTGCTTTTCTGTATTACATATGCAAATAGCTGGCGAGCATTGCAGATCCTTTACTGACCTCCTGCTTTGCAAGTGATACAGTTACTCTAGAGGATTCTCCAGCCAGTTCTGCAGATGGACCAGTCTTGCTGCCTGTCTGGATAGTTTTGTTTGTTTTATTTTTAATACTATCCTAAGGTGAAATATTTTTCATGGTTTGTCAAACAACATTATGGATTTGACTGTAAAACTATGACTCATTTCAGCCTTCATTTTTCTTATTAAGAATGATCCTGGAGGAAAGTGCAAATGAAAATGTCAGATCTGTCATAAATAATGTAAAAATGACAGCCAGGAAGAGAGGTCTCACAGACCCTCCTTCTATCCACAGACACAGAAAAGAAATCAGTCTTGGAGAGCTGGGTCTGTGACTGGTGCAAAGTTTTATCATCCTTTTGACTTCATTGTATTTATGTGTTTACATCATCCAGGTGTCTAGTCCAAAATATCTAAGCTTTGTTTTCTTGTTTGGAGGAATATATATTGTCATTCTTCATTGGCTGGCCAGGAATAAGCTTTTGAGCTTATTGTCCCTATTCTTTGTGGATTCTGTGAACATATTTCATCTCCTTGATATTTTATTTTTGGAAGCAATGCTATATCCAGAGCGCAATTAAACTAGTAATTCTTTGCTCTGTTTTGTGAGGAAGCCACTTTTAAAGATTTAATGTCTCAAAAAAGAAAAATTGTGGTGGACCAGCAGTAAAAAATTAAATCCTTGACAGTTCTTTGGCACACGATATATAATGCTGTTGATAAACAGTCTCATCTGTTGCAGTTGATAGTGGTGTGGGGGCACAGAATTGTATTGACGGTTACAAACATTTGATTTCAAGGGCATGCTCAGATACTAGCCTAGTGGTAGGGATGAGGTAAGAATACATTATATACGTAGCAATCAGAAGTCCCAGAAACCTTGAATTTAATGTCAGTGTCTGCTATAGAATGCATTGGGAAGCTAATGAAAGCAATCATTTCTATCGTCTTTTCTTCTTTCAGGTGGAGAGTCTTACTGGGGAAAACCTTTTAAAGATGAATTCAAGCCCAACTTGTCCCATACAGGACGTGGTGTTCTTAGTATGGCCAATTCAGGACCTAACACAAACAAATCACAGTTGTAAGTAGTCGCTTGCTCTTTGTATTTTATTGTTTCCCTCTAGACATTGTGTCTTGCTCCGTTAAGAAAATAAATGACATTTTATGAGCTACTCTTTAAAGCTCAGTCAAGTGAAATATTCTGTCAAGTGCTGCATATTGAAAACAGCGTTGCTACAGCTGCTGTTACCCAATCTAAGAGCACCATGAGGCATGTCGAGAAGACTTGTAGGTTTATTATATCGTTAATTTATCTTTTCTATTTTATGGTTTGTAGTTTCCATTTTTTCTCGTGTAACCCCACTCTTATCCCTGTGAAATCATTGTACCTCAGCACTCTGTTTAAATTTAGTCCCATATTGAACTTTTATTGAGTACTTAATGAAATAAAATACATACCATAATCCTTAGAAACATTGCTTCTTTTTAGTAGTCTGCTTTTAAATACATAAGAACAGTTCTGATTTCTACAAACTTACAGAACACAAGCATGACAGAGTGAAAGATCTGAGATAGAAAATTACTTGGTTTTCAGTGTGCGAAGCAGAATAAGGACTAAAATGTGGAAAAAAAATGAATTATGTAAGGAAGGAGAAAGAACAACAAATTAAATTTAAAATATCAAAGTTGTAATAACCTACTTTATATCTAACATAAATATGGATGTTTGCCAGCAGACTTCTGAAAATGCTCGGTGTCACTTTGAGCCATCTGTGTCTTGGTTGCTGTCTAGGTACTGCAAAGAAAAAACTTGTACCTTTATTGGGAACCCCGGGAGACTGTGTGTGTGTGTGTGTGTGTGTGTGTGTGTGTGTGTGTACAGTGCTATGTGTTGGGACTGGGTAGCAAGGGAGGGGACTCTTGGTGTTGGTCTTCATGATGCTTTGTATTATTATGGCTGGTAAGCTGTGCAACAGTGTGGTTAAATTTAATTAAACACAAGCGCTTGTCTCGAGGTGTTTAATAGGCTTACTCACGTGCTTAAGGCTAAGCACGTGTCGGGCAGTTTGCAGGACTGAGTTACTGTAGAGCTTATTTTGGATTTGAATGTTACTGCCAGCACTCAGGTGCTAAATTAGGGAAGAGTAGAGGCTTTAAAAAAAGGGGGGTGGGGGAGGTATTCAAGAAACGAGTCACAGACAGTTCATGAGTGATGTGCCATATTGAGTCACATCATCTGCTGCTGTAAATGCTTCCCTAAAATTTGCAAATGAAATATGAAATTCCTTTACACGTGAAGTCCTTGAGAGACTCCAGCTGCCTATATATTTAAAATGTCCTAGGCAGTGTTTAGAGACTTTGGGCAACTGTTGTGACCTTGAGAACTGGTTCTCTCCCCATAGGTGGTGGTCACTGCAATGCAAAGTGAGCTGGGTTCCCTGTGTAAAGGGTTGCTCAAGTAATGCTGAGGACTTCTCTCCCTGGATGACCCTGAGTTGTATTTATTCCATTGTCCTTCATTTTATTTTGACTGCAGTAATGGTTGAGGAGCTTTCTCAAAATATTTGCCTCTGCTCAGATTTTTTTTTTGTTACTGTCTGTATCTATTACTATATGCTATCTTAAGTGACCACCTGCTAATCTACATATTTGGATATCTAAGAAGAAAGTGGTGCAAAGAATCCATGCACAAGGCTAAGTTGTAATGTATGCCCTGTGTGGGAGTGTGCATTTACAGCGTCTCAAAGCTTTCCTAGGGCAAGCTACGTTTTAATAGATTGACTAGTAGATTGCAGCCCCTCCTATTTGCAATCATATAACTTCCTGAGGCAGTGGCTTATATGGAAAAGTGCTTTTGGAATGTTTATATATTTTTAGCCGTCTCAAATGTAGTGTAACAGATGGAGACAGGGAGGAGAGCCAGTACTGCATGTCCAGCCAACGTGGGCCATCGTGGTCTGCAGACCACAGAGTGGAAACCTCTGTCTCATACGCTTCTAGTCCAGGTCTTCCAAAGAAGCATTAAGCTTTAGAGAAAAGCTTTAGTAGTAAAGATTACTTTGGATTTTTTATTTCAGTTCCTGTGTTTAAATTTAAAAATAACACACATACACACAACTAAGAATCCAAGTTGCGCAGGTTTTCATTGCTTCTGACGCTTTCAAGTGTTCTTCTGCCATGTTTGTAACAAAACACAAATTTTCTCTCTCCAGAGGAGAGATGGATCATAGATGGTTCAATTTAATGGAAAAAATATATAAATGCAAATAGTAGATATCCAAAAAGATAAAAGTTTACACTGGCAGAGGGTTGTTGTGTTATATAACTACATTTGCTGGATACAAGCTCCCAGTCATGCACAAGAAATGTCCTCCTCAAGCAAGAACCATGTATCACTGTCCTGCAGTAAGCTTTCCAAAGCCTGCCTGGCCAAGGAGGCAGATGCTCTGATTATTTTTGGACATGGTGCAAACCACCATGTTTGGAGTACTGTTTGGGGATGTTAGTAAGGCATAAAAATGAGAAGCCCAAACTCCACAAATCCAAGACAAAACCCACAAAACGGAGAAGTTAAAGGGTATTTGGCCAGCTGGACTCCAGAAAAGAGAGAAATCTGTCTCTTTGCAGAGGGCTGTTACATACATTTTCTGGTTTTAAGCATAGCTTGCTATTGCTGAGTTTCAATGAGATAATATTCTAACCCTTATGTCTTTATTCTTTCCAGCTTTATCACATTCCGCTCTTGTGCATATCTGGACAAGAAGCATACAGTGTTTGGAAGGTACGTGAAACATATCGTGAGAAGCACATGTACTCTCCAGCATGTCTAAACCTAGAGAGAAGCTGTTGATTTTTGAAATTGAGCTGGAGCAACATCCTAGCTCATAATCCAGTTCTCTTGGTAATGAGTAGGTGGCCAACATCTCTTTAGTGCCAGTCATCAGATTCTGCTGTGTTTTTGGGGGGGGGTTGTTTTGGGTTTTGGTTTTGTTCTTTAACTCTTTCCATCACTGTAAATTGCCTTATTTCCCTTTGTTTGGTGGTAGTCCAGGGAGTCAAGAACAAAGTAATCATCATCCGATAACCAACCGTGTTAGTATTTGTGCACGCTAATTGCCAGGACACAAGAGATTACCTCTTCAACATTGCTTTCATCCTCTTAGGACCTGTCAACGAGCAGATTAGTCATTAGGCTGCTCTTATCATGGTATAGAACATAGTGCTTCTGCATACATTACATCTTCTGACTCTTCTTATTCTTTTTCATTCTATTCTTCCTTTATTTCTGACGATTATTATTGGTATAAAATCTATGTCCATGGGTGTATATGTACATGCATACACATATAAGATATTGCCCATGCCAAGACAGCAAGGGAGCTTCTTTCTTTTTAAAGGTGTCTTTTCCAGTCAAGCCATCACATGATAAAGATGAAGGTATTTATTACAGAACATATTACAAAATACTTATATTGTAGAGAGGCAATTGTACAGATACATGGTATATCCTAGGTCACACATAGCTATTCTAACAAATGGCTTGCTGCAAAAGGCAGGAAGCGGAATTTTACTAGCCTGCTTCATTGGTAGTTCCTGAGAATTTTACAGTCTTTTTAAAAATGAAGATTTGGGTTTTATTCTTTTCCTAGTTTTCTCTGTTTGAAGGGCAGCAATTGAAAGTAAATACATGTGTTGATTGCTTTGGATATTATACATTATTACTGTATAATGAAAGCGATACATTTAATCCATCTTCTCTGCCTGCAAGTTCTTGAGACAGAAGCTGGCTTCATTTTAAACAATTACATTAGTACCATTAGTTCTGATACTGATTCTGCAGTAATTACACTCTTTGAAATATATTACTTCATCCTAGGAAAAATTCAAGTTTTTGTCATTTGGTAAAAACAGATAAATAAAGCAAGTTCTAATACTGAGAGCTGAGAGCGAGTATATTTGTGGAGGAATTACATTACCTATATCTTAAGACTATTTCACGTAAGCTACAATGTGAGTCCTCCTTGCAAAAATCCCATTAAATCTAATATGGTAATGCTGTTAACCTGAGCTTGCCACCTCATCAGGCAGTATTTGGGTTAGGACAGCTCAGCTGAAAATTTGACTGTTCTTCAATTTTGGATTGAAGAAGCAACCCGGCTTCTGTGAGCATACCGTGTAGTCCTCCGGTGTCTTCACTGTGCTCTCTCAGTGTGCTCCAGTTTTACCATAATTCACCCCAAAAGAATTTGGAGAGTGGCTGAGCTCACTGCAGTGCAGGGAACGTGCTCCAAGAAGCCTTTGCAGCAAGCATAACATCTTGAGTACCTTGTGAGCAAAATAGCTTAAAATGTTTCATGCTGTACATTGTACATTAGAGAGGAATTACTTCAGTATGGGTAACTGGGTAAATATATAGCAGAGATTTACGCAGTGGTAATTTTAGCAAAGACTCTCTTCATCGCTGATTTGTGCTTGCTGCTATAGAAATCTGAATTTGGTTGCCAGAGTAAGGAAGTAATGCTGCTTTCAGAGCATGGCAAATTTCCTTTGTATTTCAGCTAAGAATAACCTTTACAATAAAATGTTGATTTAGATTCATGTTTGGCTGCCTGCATAACAACTGAGTGGCATCTTCATCTGAATACTGGGCAGGTGAATTTTACTCTGGGCTCTCTTGCATGTAGAGGACGTTTAATTCAAAGAATGTCAGAGATGCCGGGATAGATGCATTCCATTCTCCCCCATATCTACAAATTGAATACTTGAATAATTGGATTTGCCTACAAATTTAATACAAAAGCCTGATGTATGAAGCTCTTTAGGTCTGTATTCTGTAATCAAATTCCTTCAGCTATTCTTATCTGTATTTGTTTTTAGAAGCCATAAAAGCCAAAAGATTTGAGACATTCTCTCTCTAGTGAAACTCCTGCTATTTTAGATCCTGGGTGTTTCCAGGATTTGGTGACTGTATCTGATCTTGGACTCTAAAGGACAATAATATCTGGAAAGCATATCTGGATATAATATCTAGGGTTAAGAATAGAATGAACTCATGAAATCAAATTTCTTTGTTTCCATCAATGTTAAATTGGGTTGGCTCAACTGGATGTTTACTGGCCTGCTGTGACTTTTGCATAGATTTCAGGATTATTTATTTCAATTAATATAAAAACTTAAATACTCTGAGCTCAATTGTGCCTTCAACTATCTCTATACAGCTCTGGTTCATGTTAATAAGTGTCATGTATATATCTTTGAGAATAGAGTTTGACCTGTTTGTAATTTGTACAGAACTTTTCAGCAGGCGTTTCGTACCTCTGAGAACAGAAAAAGCACAACCATTCCCCACCCTTTTTTTTTTTTTGTGGTCCTGTGTGGGATGGAGCATTGACAGGTTCCTTCTCTTGAGAGCTGCATTTTGTTCATGCCCCCACTGGTTCGAAGCACAGTTTTTGCATATTAGCAGCTATTAAGAGTTGTGTGTTTGGCTGTTAAGTGTGTTTGAAAAACATGCCAGCTGCAGGCAGTGGGCTTCTGTGTGGTGGCACGTGGCTGGCTTTGTGCACAGGGATCTCCGAGTCTCGGGAGAAGGCTAGAGCTGGAGGATAGGGAGAGCATCTTGTCATGGTTGTGCTGCCCACCATGGCAGTAATGAGGACAGATGTTACCGAAACGAAAGGAGATAATTTGGCATGGATGGGGAGCAAAAACAAAGGCAGAGAGTGAAAGAAGAAAGCCTTCCTTGGGAGGTGTGCTGCAGACTGCGTGGATTTCCTGCTCCCGCAGAGCTGCCTAGATTAACTTAGTAATTATCATTTCTAGTAATTACCATTTCTCCTGACTTAGAGAATGCTGTAATTAACTTGAAAACTAACTGGTGGCTTTTGTTTGCTTCTAGCTGGCTGGTAAGGGGGTTAATTTAGAAACTCAAATAATGTAAACCAACAGACTGGAGTTAGCTCTGCGTAATGCAGGTGATAAACACTTTCAGGTGACTGCTGCAAGGGGAAGGTCCTGTCTGCTGCTGCTCTGTGCTGCTGGGGGGGAGCTCCCCCTTACCCATGCTGCAACTGGGAATTCGACTGTTCTGTGAGCTGCATGAGCTACAAGGGCATTACTGCCAAAACACCAGTATAGGCTTACGTGCTTGTCTGGAATGCTTTATGAAATTTAGATGCAAGCACATCCCATCTGTGTTATTTTATTTTCTATTACTGCAATGGCTCATAACTCCAGTGGCTCAGAGACCTAGTCCATTTGGCCCTTTATAAGTAGGAATAGAAATATAATCTCTGTGCCAGAGAGCTGACTGTGTAAGTAGAAAAGAGAGTGCTTATAGGTGCAGGGCAGTTACAACAGTGACCCCGTCAGCTACCTTTCAGCAAAGGTTTGCACTTTCTTTCACACCAAGGAAAAAGAAAGCCCCAGGGAAAATTAAATGGCTTTGTGGACTGTTTCAGGGAATCCATTCCAAGGCTAAAAGGAGCCACAAAAAAGTCCCGGTTTGGAATGCTAGTGGAAGGTGATGGAGCTGTTCTGATCATTAGGAGGAGAGCAATACTTGCTCACTGAGTTGTAGGTGAGATTTAGGACAAGCAGGACATGGTGGCCTTGAAAGTGAGGGCAGGCTGCAGGTATGCGATGTGATTAAGAAGGGCTTCTTGAGGGAGCAGAAAGAAGTCTCACAGTCAAAATGACAAAGCTGGAAATGATCTGTGCAGCGTTTCTGTAAGTTTATCAGAGTACCACCTGTGTTCGTTAAGGTCTGAGAAAAGGATGTGGAGACTGAGGAGTCTCCTCAGCAGAGATGAGCATCTGGAGGACAGTTTTTCCCTGTATACACAGCTGCATGTATCTGCTTACGCAGATCTTTTAATGGTCTCTTGAGATTTCTGCCACTCATTCTTCAGTTCTGGTGTTCCTGGAAATATGAAGGAGATGGTTTGGGAAACTTCAGGCTTAGTCAAATGTGAGGTACTGGTTAGTAGCCGACATTCACTCAGCTTAGGCTTCTCTTTCCTTCCTTCCTCCCTTTGCCAGATACTTTTGTGGTAGACAGATTTCTTCCCTTGGATTAGCATTACTCTATTAAATATGCCTTAGGCTGTTTAATGCTCCCTACTGCAATCCTGCAGAATGGAGCGATTAAGGCAACTGTTGTCCTTCAAAGTGAGAGCTGGGTAAAACTGCTACAGTGCATTACTCAGTTACCCAGGTATGGGAAATAATGCACAGGACCTGTTTCCATTTGTAATATTCCCTGCGTGATTTGAATCCATGAACCCCAATGGTTTCTAAGCTGGGAAACACGTTTTTGTTGTTCTTCTGCTTTAGTCCATCTGAGGAACAGAGAAATTGTGTGACAGTGGAGGAAGAGCTGATTGCATTGTCGAATCTGTGCAGGGGGCCTGACCTAATTCTGCTCTGCAGAGGCTGCTCCCAGGCAGCAGGGCAGGAGCGAGGTGGGGAAGTAAAAGCAGGAGGGAGTCGTGGTGTGACCGCCTGCAGCACGCGAGGGCTGGGCTGTCCGAGCTGCACGAGGGCTGGCGCCGCTTGTCAAGACAGTTGTATGACCCCTGGAAAGGAACCTGTGCCAAAGCAGAGAAATCCTTACGTTCCAGGTTCTTCTGTTGAGTCTAGTTTCAAAGTGCTTTTTTCCAAGTTGCTTTATTTTTTTTGCTGCCCTTTGTTGCTGTCTCTCACCTCTTATATTAAGCCCTTATGAGAAATTGAGATGTTTTGACTGCATCGTTACAAGTTTGAATTGCTTGCTCTGTTTCAGATGGGGTGTATACATAGAAAACACTTTGTCCCGAGCGAGTGTACGTGTTTGTGCATGTGTATATTGTCCTCTGTCTGCATATAAATGCATGTACTTTTTTTTTTTTAATAAAAATAAGCTTGAGGGCAGAATGTATTTACAAAACAACAACATTTATTTCTGCTTTCTGTTTCTAGTTTCAAACTTTTTTTTTTTTTTTTTTTTGAAAAAATCCAGACATTGTTCTTGTATCGTCTTCTGACCAGGAAGCTCTATCATCTTGGACTGCGGCCATACCCAGCACTCATAAGGCTTAATTCCTGTAATTCGTCTAAACAAAAATATGAGAACTGGGAAGTTCATGTGTGAATGTTTGTGGGTCTGTTAGGGAGTTGCAGTTTTCTCTGGGAGCAGTACTAACTAATGTAGCACTGAAACTTGCATTGGCATATTGCAAATGCATAGAGCTTGCTCCACATATTTCACTTACACTTCATGCAAAGACTTTGGCAGTGATCTGAAACGAGGTTACTAGTTTGCATAAAAGAGCTATAACAGGAAGTCGGATTTTAAGTAACATCTTTAAATTTGAGATGTAAAGATTTCAAGTGCTAGCTTAGCTCACTTTTCAAGAAAACAGAATTACATGAGTAAGGACAAAATTTTTCTTTTCACTGCTATGCTAACAGAAAAAAATCTAAATGTACCTGCCTTGTCGCCCATGCTTAAATGTAATGCAACATTTATCAAGCTCCTCTAAAAATACAACAAGCTGTCTCAGGGATGCTGAGCTAAATATATAGTTGAGATCACCATTTCAGCATCTACTGGAAGTACACAGCAAAGCTTCGGTTTCACCGGTTGTTGTAATGTAAGTGGTGTCTTGAAGGTGTCACCCTTTCCACTGCGGGTTGTCATCTCAATGGCTATTTAAACCTCACAGGAACTTGCCTGCTGCATTTAGGACAAAGCATGCATGGCACCTTGTAAAAGGAATGGAGCCAGAAACAGTGGAAAAGGTTAAACTTGTTTCTGCCCTTCTCTCTCCCCGTTGTTACTGAGCTCCCAAGTTAGCACTGGGGCCGCTGAGCATTATCACAATATCTAAAGACAAAAAGTTATATTGAGAGCTCACTGTGCTGAAACTGTAATGTGCATAGGAATACTCTGTGCAAAGTGCTAGAGAAGAGACGGGTGTAAAAGAAATGAGTTTCCTGTTTTAGAGAAAAGAAGCTAAGAAAGAGAATATTCTCTGCAGGCCCATACAGTGACACGAGAAGGACACGGTGTCATCACTCCTCACTGACAGGGAGTGAGGAGCACCCTTGCTAGAAATGGTACTTGAAACTAAGAAAAGCTGCTGGCAGAACCAGAGCTGACTTTTTTGTATCAGCTGGCATGAAAGGGTCATCTTATCACCGTGGGAAGAAGGCAGCGACACCAAAGAGATGCCCTGCTCCAAATGCCAAAACATTTACCTAACTGGTGATGTTCCAGATGAAAGGAAACTCTGCTGAGAGCCGCATCCCTGGAACACCTCTCTCCCTCTCTGCAGGACACGTCTGCAGTCTTAAGTGGAGTTTATCTGATGTCTTAACTTTGCTACAGGTCATGCCGATTCTTTTACGTCAAGGCAATCTTTGCCACCACCAGCAGAAATGATAGAAGGTATTAAAACAACACAGGTCCTACAAAAAGTGCTAACTAGCAATTTCTCCTTGTATTATTTTTGGCCCCAAAAGGTAGATCTAAAAGCTACCAAACCATCTTGAGGGTAACAACTTTTTGTTCTTCCCCCATAGCTCTTTATAATCATCTCAAAATAGACAGTATTTAGGTAATTTGCTTCTGACCTGTGAAAGCCACGTCTATCACAGCTCTTAAAATGTACAAGTAACAAAATATTCCCGCTAATGTTTAATTAGCACAGCAAATAAAGATTCGTGAGTAGCGCCAAAATGCACTAGGGCTAATATCGTGGGAGGTCTAGCCATGGGCTAAGGGCTTACTCAATTGAGGTTGTCAGTGCATAGCTGATCTGGCTATTTCAAATTATCAGAACCTAATTAAATGGAAACATGCGAGCAGATAATGAATGGAGCTGTTGGCTAGAAAATCCTCCAATATTAAATCAGAAGTTTCCTTTAGGGACAATTAGAATACAGTGAATGTATCTTAGGCTGTGTGTTAATCATTGATATTATAAGCAAACCTGATATTGGCCTGGAGGAAGAATTTGAAATTGGGTTTTTGTTAGGAACTTTCTGAAGTTCATGCAGGGTTTTCAAGCACTGTGCAGCTCTGGGGAGATTCCCCCAGTGTACTACCTCCAGTTCCAAGTGATTGAGTCTGTTTTAGCCTGCATCAGTGTCTTTTAATTGCTCTTAAAAGTCACAGCTTGATTACAGAGTATTGACAGACCCCTGGGGAATAGAGGGGAACAGTGCAACAGCAACAAACTGTCTGCAAGGACAGCTCGGTTCAGGGCAAGTGCTTAGCAGCATCTTCTCTAACTTGGGAGCATTTTCTTTTCTGTATCTGGGTCTGTCTTTTTGGTCTTCTTTTGCATCTGTTTTACCCTGTTTTGTGGCTGCAGTGAATTACAGTAAGGGGCAGACCTGGGCTCCTTGGTGGCCACCTTGTGCCCTCTTGATGCAGAGCTCCCGGACCCAAGCTCCTCTGGCTGAGGGAGCAGTGTTTCTCAGAGTTGTGGCTGCTTCTCATTGTCCCACAGACATTAATACAGGCTGTATTTTTGGTTCCTGGCCATGTGGTTTGGCTCTGTTAAAACAGATGTTGTCCAGCTACAGCCTGCCTTTCTAAGGGATCTGGATCTCTCAGCATCAGCGGCCTGTCTTCGTCTTTATTTACTGCTCTTCTAAGTATAGCCTTTTTCAAATTTAATTGGGGATGATGATGTGGATAAAAGTGTTAAATACCTTGGGACCAAGATCGGATCCCAGCAGGACCCCTTTGGAAACATACTGACTCAGAGGTTCCTATTTAAAATTAGATTTTGACACCTGTCAGCCAGTTTTTTTATTTAATGTATGCTGTGTTCACTTCATATCGTTCTGGTTTCTCAATCAAAATATCAGCCGCCTTCCAGAAGTCTGTTCCACTGACACTGTTATCCCTATTAGCCACATCTGTCGGCTCAACGATAGAAGGTGATTTGACAGACTCTGTTTTCCACAAAACCTTGTTGATTGCTGTTACTTATTTCCTTTCTTTCTTAATCATGTCCTGTCTCTGCCATTCCATTATTTTGCTGGGATAGATGCCAGGATGACAGGCTTATAATTATCTGGGTCACCCCATTTATCTTCTCTAAATATCCTTTTCTGGAACTTTCCCATTGTTCTGTGCTTTTTTTTTTTTTTTTTTTTCTTTTTAAGTGCAAGCCATATAACAGACCAAAAAGCCTTTGGCCTTTCTTAAACGTTTTGAAGCAAGTCTTCGGCTATGTTGCCTTGAAGGATGAGAGGCTGGTGATCTACCATTCTCCTAAATAAAACCTGCAATGAAAAGTGTCCCAGAATTTTCTTGTGGCTGTGACTTGATGCTCTGCTGCTTTCCCAGAGCCCTGACCAAGTTCATGGCTGCAAGTAAAAAATCGGAAGTTAATGAAAACATTTGCTTTCTTGACCCAGTCTGGTTTATTTTTCAAAGCTCATGGGAGTAACAAATGAGCTCCAAATTTATACATGTAACGTTAGCAAGTTGAATCCATTTTGAAATGGGCTTGTGTTTTCTTGCACAGACAGCTGCCCACAGTCACTCTTTTTCCATCTGGCTGGTTTGTTTGCACTAGAAAGGCTACTGAGTTTTTGGACAACCGTCTTTGCTTTATTTCTGAATATTTGACTTTTTCATGTTCCATTTAATTTTGAATTCAAATCCAAGATTTGAGGAAAAAATTCTTACTGCCCACAGTGAATGACATTATCTCAAGTCTTCCTCATATGGTTGCTGATCCCCCTTCCCCTGACCACAATGGTTTAAAAATCTGGTAATGGACAGAAATTAGATATATTAGATGTAGGGGAGCAAGAATATTTCAAGTGTATTGTGACAACTGGAAATTGTCTTTCCTCTTTTAGAGTGGTCGGTGGTTTTGAGACTCTGACTGCTATGGAGAATGTGGAAAGTGACCCAAAAACAGACCGCCCCAAGGTAACTGTGCAGTGCCAGGAGGCGGCGAACGTGTGGCCCTGCATGGCAGTGTGGTTCACCCTGCTGCTGCTTCCCAGAAAGCAGAACCTGGGGGTGGTGGTTTGACTTAATCAGAGATTCAGTTGTTGTTCTTCACTTCTTCTCCCAGGAAGAAATCCGAATTCAGTCAACGACCGTTTTTGTTGATCCGTATGAAGAGGCGGATGCCCAGGTGAGGATAGAGTTATCTTGTTTGGTAGGCCAGAGCTCTGCTTTTGAGAACTTTGTAGCTTACTCACTTCAGTTTTTATCCCAGCTTGTCCCTTGTGGAGACCGCACTTCTCCCATGCCTTTTCTTTGTGCCTCCCTCTGCATGTGGGAGCGCCCTGGCCCATATGGGTGCAGGCTGAGGTTAAACATCAGCCGTTCAGCACTGCCTCGTGTGCCAGGATTGTCACTGCTGTTTCGGCAGAGAGGTCTTTGTAGCTGGGTCTGGCACAGCTCCCAATCAATCACACTTACAATGGCTTCCTATCCAAACACCCACAGTAGCTGCCAGTAGCTGCAGGTGAGATGAGAGGAATTTTGTTCTAATGGCTGCAGACAGACGGTTTGTAGTGGCCCTTGAGGTCTGGCTCCTAAAGCCAGCCCTGTAATCAGGGCAGTGCTGATTGCTGTCCTAGAGTGCTTTCGAGTTTCAAAGAACTGTAGACATTGCCTACTTACTCTGGACTAGCTCTTGCAACAGATTGCACTCTTTGTTTCCCACAGGTTGCTGCAGAGAGAGAGAAGGCTCAGCAAGAAGAAGAAGCAGCCAAAACAAAAGCTGAGGTGATCCCACCAAAGAAAGAGGTCCAGACTCCTAAAACTTACCGTCAGGGGATTGGAAAATACATTAACATGGCTGCAGCGTAAGTTCCCTGCCCAACCGATCTTCGTTCAGTGTTTTAGTTGCCTTTCCTGCTGGATGGTGACCCTCACCAGTATTGTTGCTTGGCTTGGGGCTGTCTGCTGAGACTCTCGAATAGGCCAGATGCTTGGTTTGTGCTGGCAGGGGTTGCAAAGATACTGTCATGCAGTAGTCAGAGTTCCCTCTAATTCTCTTGTTTTGCAAGACTAAAAGTTAACTGAGCTTTTGTTTTTGCACTTGAACGTGTCTGAGATGGTCTTTAACAGCATGTGCAGACTTCACAACCATAAATACATTTCCACAATGCAGAAGTCCTTGAGAAGGAACTGTACTGCAGCTTCCTCCACTATCTTTCTACTCTGGCCTCTTCCCCTTCAGCAGCTATTTTTGAAGGCCTCTGTCCCATGGATGTTTTTTCTTTTAGCAGCTTCTACCCTGCACAAAGGGTGCCTGAAACACATATCTGTCTGCTGATCTGCTTCCCTGTGCAGCCACACAAACAGTTGCACCAGCACAACTGAAATGGCCAGAAAGGGGAGCAGGTTCTCAGGCTTGCTGTGGGAGCACAGGGTGTCTGGCAAGTAGCTCCAGGGTGCCTGGCAGGTTGTACAGACTTGTCCCAAAGCATCCTCTCCCAGACACCCTTTGTACACCCCTTGGGATTGGCAGCATCGCTTGCTTTCCTAAGGACAGCACGGAATCCTGCCTCAGCAGAAGATTAGCATGAGTTTTGGATAAATTAAAATAAATGCCTTCCACTTGAGTTTTAGCAGACTTCTGTAAAAGCATTTGCAAAAATGCTGTTGTCTGCCTGCTGCATAAAGGCATGTATTTATGTGTACACAGATTTGGACAACTACTTAATCAGCTTGTATGTGCCTGTGTGACGTAAAGGCACTTGCATAACTGTGAGAATAAAAATATGACAGTCCATGTAGGATGGTTTCATGTGTACGTCAGTTAAATATTTCAGTTACAAAATATTGCTTGGCCCTTAAAATATCATGTTCAGCTTAAAATTGCTGTCATACTGCACTGTTACTTACAGAGAGAACACATGCAGAGTTTGCAGCTGCAACAGCTCTGCAGAAAGGGCCAAGTTGTATAAAAAAGAGTTTTCTTTCCTAGTCTTTCACTCATTGCAGCCTGCCTTGAGTCTGGGAGTTTGGCCCATAGCAGCCCTTTGGCAGGCTCAGGCTTCTCTCTGTCGACTGCTGTTATCTGACAGTAAAACCCCAGTATATGACCTGGCCACGTAGCACTTCCGTGGGGTTATAATCTTTGCTCAAGAGGGGCTGGGAATAGCAGCAGCAACTGCATCAGGCCATGCTCGAGAAACAGAAGGATCTCACAAACTTGCCCAGCTGCTTTACACCTAATTACCGATAAATTCTTTTGCTGCCACAAATGCAGGTGAGATGTGGCTCAAACTTTCATAGTGACTGTACTTTTTTATTTAAAAAAAAAAAAAAAAGGCAGCTGTTAAATGTTCAGCTCTGACCTAGAGATCTTGCTGGGTCTTGAGCACATTCCTCGAAGTGTTCAAGGCCCGACCGAACCATCCCCGCAGACTGACACACTCTCCCTCTGCTTGGGTGAACCAAAAGCCACCAGTCCCAGCCCTCCTGCAGTCCCATGCCAGCCCAGAGCTTGTGCTTCTTTCTGATTTATAAGGGGTGAGCTGGCTGCAGTGTAGCTGTTTCTGGGAGAGGAAAGGCAGCCAGCTGCCCTGGTCCCACTGAGCAGTAAATAGTCCCTGAGAGTTGTTTTCATTTTGGCTCCAGGAAGCGCAGTGTGGAAGATGACGGGCCCTCAACAAGCACAGCTGCGAAGAAAGAGAAAAAGAGCACAGGCTTCGGGGACTTCAGCTCCTGGTAGCAGCGTGGGGAGCCTAGCACTGGAGCAGCGCAGCAAAAAAGAAGAGGCGGCCTCCCACGTGTCCCTGAAGAGCCCGAAAGACAATCTGTCCTGGGGAGGGAAGGCACCAGCCTGCCCTTCCACTGGGGAAGAAAACTTGCTTTGTTAAGGGTGATTAATGTGGCTTTGTCTTCTGCAGAGCTGCATTCCCCCAACTGCATCTTCCTCGAAGGCCTTTTTGTTGTTGTTTTGCTAAGTGGGGAGCAGGCGGCCCAGCTCCGCTGGGATTAGCTGGAGCCTTTCTCTGCTTGGCTGGCAGCAGACCAGGCAGAGCCCAGCCCTGCAGGACACTGCTTCAGTGAACAGCTACATTGGTGAAAGAGCTCCTTTTACAGGTAATCATTTCCAGACAAGCCGAGTCTGCCAAATGAATGAATGAATTAATGTGCTGGGGAAGCGCCTGTGCTGCTGTAGCGCCTTGCGGAGGGGAGGAGAGAGCTCCAGTCTGTCCTGCCCTTCCCTTCTAGCTGCCTTTTGCTTGTTCTCAACAAGGACCAATTCTGTCTTTCGCTCTCACCTCCTGGGTGGACTCACTGCTGTTGATCTCCGTAGGGCCTTGCTCACTCCAGATTGAGCTCTGTCTGCACCCGTCTAACAGCCTGGGAAGCAGCAAGACTGGACAGGGAGCCTGGTGTAACTGCAGCCCTTGCCCCTCCCAGTAGCTGGCCTTGCTGGAGCCACTGGGGAGCCAGAGGGGCCAGGATGCCCCAGTTCAAACCTGCCCTCCGGTTCCAGAAAAGTCAGCATGGAGCAATTGAGTGGGAACAGAAACAAAATTGCAGCATTTGTTTTATTCACCATCCCCAAAGCCTGCTCCTTGCAGGGGAATGCATTTTTTTCTGCTCCAATATCATCCTCTCATTATTAGGGAAAACCATGTAGTGTAGCTCACAGGCATCTCAGATACGTTCCTTGCACAGCCACAGATTATTAGGATGCTTAAAATAAAAAAGGCCTTCTGGGGTACAGAGGTATCAGCCTGGGAATTTTTAATTCAAAACCACGATGTGTGTTACCATCAGTTAGAGGTAGTATACGAGATCCTGAGCAGTACTTCTCGGCTCATCTTAGGTGTTTTCAGATGACAGAAGTATCCCTACCTATATTGGGCTGCGGAGATAGTTTTGTAATTACCTCTGTAACCAATACATTTATATCAGCAGCTCTATGTTTTAAGAGAAGTCTCCGTTTATACAAAATTGCTGTAAAAAATTTTGGTAAAAGGTTTTGCATTAAATGCTTTATTTTCTTTTGAATGCCTGTGTCTGACTGTTCCACTGTGATTTCCAAGACCACGGCATTACCGAGTTGATTGTTTTATAAGGAAATGATTCATTTCTACTTTTTAAGATGCTTGTAAAGAACTCTGGGATCTTTGCGGATATGATTACATCTTTGTTAAATCATAGGAAGTTCAACCTCATTTGAAAGAATAATAGTTGGTTTTGTTTTGTTTTGCAACGTTTTGCAAGGTATAAGTTGGAAGTAGCGCATGATTCCTGGAACGGGATGTGATGGTACTTTCCTCAAGCTGAATTTCTTCTGTCATGTTGGAACTTCATGCTTCTCCTGTACTGGCCTTTTCCTGGTTAATTCCTGGTAAATCCCCGTTACCTAATTCCTGCTTCAGCACATTTTGAAGTTGCGAAGTCCACAGTGTTGCTAGAGTTGTTATAGTCAGTTTAATGAAATCCATAAGAGTAAAATGCTTTTTTTGTAATGGATTAAAATGGGGATTAGTATGAAAGAAAGGAGCTTTTGATTACGAGGAAAGCAGCAGAGGTGTGGCAAGGATTCCTGTTTCACCGAGTCCTTGTTGCAGATTGATACATACAAAGGACAGCTTCCCTTTGCAGCGGCAGGCAGCAGATAAGCACCAGCTTTCCCTTTCTGCTTCAGTTTTTGTGCTGTGGTCTGCGAGGGACCGGTGCCTTGCTGCAGGACTGCTGGCCTTCCACGCGCTGCCTTTGCACTGCGCTGGTGACAATTTCCCACCGTAACAAACACCAGGCACAAACAAAAACCCACAGTTTCCTGGCTTCTAGGAAGGCTGTGTAACCTTTGAGCTTTGCTCTAAGCCGTGGTGAAACTCCTCAGTCTCTGCTTGACCCGAATCCAGCTATGCCTGGGCCGCTGGTGCTTTCCCAGCCTCTCCTGGTTTCCCCTCCCTCTGTATCCGATCCCTCATGGCCAGGAGCTGCTGGCTCTGACCCGTCCCCAGGGGCCGAGCGTTTTGGCCGAGGCCGTGTGCTGAGTCAGCTGCTGGGCTGGGGTTTGCAGCGCAGCGAGCACCGCCAGGACTTGAGCAGCCAGAGCACGCAGCCAGCTCTTGTTCCAAACTCCCACCTCTCTGCTCCCTCCGACACCTCAACTTTTGCATAGTTGGTCAGGTTTTGGTTTTCTTTGTTTATTTGTTTTTTACTTCAGCTTTTCTTCTGATCAGCAGAACTACAGGGACAAAGTGACACAACCTCTTTTTTTTATTTATTTTAAATACAAGTCAAAATGTTTAGCGAGCTTGCTGGGCACAAGGTGGGTACACAGAGCAGGGCAGTGTCGTGTAGCCCTCATTTTTTACAAAACCTGTCTCACTGCGGGATGGTTTGCGGTTTCCACTACCTGGAAAAGATTTCTGAAACCTTTTCTGCCCCTTTAATCGCTTAGTTCTGCAGCAAGGACAGCACCCTAAACTCTAGTTCTGGCCTGAGGGTCAAGCAGGGATTGTGTAGCCTTACTACAGAAAAACACTCCTGTGTCCTGCTATGCTATTTGTAAGCAGATTTTTTTTTGTGTGTCTTTGGCACTATCACAGTCAATGCTCTTGAAGGAGAGGGAAAAATAAGGATTTCACATAGCTTTTGTTTGGCCTTGACTGTAATAGCACCAGCGCTCTGTTACTTTGCTGTGCCCCACACCTGAGTCATTTTGATGAAAAGCAGAGACACTGGGTGACCAGCGGACTCATCCCTTCCTGAGGCCTGGCGCTGCCACAGCAAGTGCCACAAACACAGGGCACCTCGAGAAGGCAGCGGCGTGTGGTGGGGCTGGCAGCTGCGACTGCTCATTCCCGTCCTGCTGCGGAGATGTGGGGCACGCGGGAGCTGCACTCTGTCACCTCTGCTTTTTCTGGCGTGACATCAGGAGGCCCTTCGAGGACTGCTGTGGTATTGTCTGTGTGGGAAGCCACGCTAATTTAATGGGTTTTAAACTAAATAGATACAACTCTATTTCCATACTTACCAAAAGGAAAAAAACAGGATATTGTTCATTTTAAATTTGCCTGTTTCCCACTGGCTCCGGCTGCTACAGCCCACTCTGTTGGAAGCAGGAGCTCAGACAGGCAATTGCTCTGCTTCAGCATCCAGGAAAGATCAAATTGGTGCCCATCCCTTGCAGGGCTGTGAAGTGCGAGTAGTTTGCAGTCAAACTCTGTGTTTTGAGTTCTCCAGGAAAATCCTGCTTCTCTCTCAGGCTCCTTTCAAGAAAGGGACCAAGCAGTGACTGCTCCCCAGGGCCCAAGCTGCTCCCCCCTAGGGTGAGAAGCTGGGCGAGCACTTGCTTTCCTGTCTGAGCAAGCAGATGTTTGTGCCCATTCGTTTCCCTGGGCTTTGGCCTGATGTCCATGGTTCAAGCCTTGATGCAGCTGCTGGTAAGGAGCAGGGGGCAGCCACCCCTGTGAGCCACAGAGCTGCCAGCAGGAAGCAGAATCCCCTTTTGCTGGGTCATGGCTGGGCTCATGCAGGCACCGGGCCCCACAGCCTGGCCTTGCACTGAGGGCTGGAAGGGTGGCGTTGAGGCCAGGAGCCCCTGCTAAGGCTTTGTGGCTCTTGCCTAGCAGGAAAAGCAGAATTAAGAGCAGAAAAAGCTGCTGTTCATCTGCTTGATCCCCTTTAGAAGAGCCCATGATCCCAGAGGAAATCGGGAGCAATGAGGCTGTGTCTGGTGTGGCTTCATGCTGTGGCTGCCCGGGCGGTCTGCTGCAAATTGCTGCCATTGTGCTGTTGTCACCATGGCTTTTAGGACAGCAAGGTAAAAGCGGTCTTTGGAGACACTGAAACAGTTCAGGGCAGCTGCAGGTTTTGTGGTCGTGCTGCTAACAGAGGAGGGGGGATGCTGAAGGTGCTGGAGCAGGCACATGCCCTCAGGTTGGTGCCGCTGGCTCCGTGCTGTCCCATAGGCAGCCGGGCAGTGCAGCACTGGTGGGTGCAGCCCCACCGGGCACGGTGACCCCAGCACGGGCTTTGTTGGGCCCCGTGGAGGGGGGCTTTTGTTGGCTTTGTTGGGAGCTTAAAATATTACTGGGATCCCTCAGCCACCCCTCGCCAACGGTGTTTGGAAGGAACAGGATGCCGGAAACCTCATGCCAGGAAGCAGCTTTTATAAGCAAGGTGGGGGGGGATTTGCCAAACACCCCCCAGAATATCCACACTGTTTGCTTTGGAGAAGGCAAACAAACTGCATTGGCCAAACAGGAAGGAGGCGGGCAGCTGCCGGCCCCGGCCTGGCAGTGGCTTGCAGCATGCAGTATGGCCAGGATTTTCTTGCTTCTGCTTTCTTTGGAAATAAATATTATTGAGGTGGCAGCAGAGGATTTAAGTGCCCTGTGCGGTGACAGTGGGGAAGGGGCTGGAGGCGAGGCTGTGCCCAGGGCTGGTGCAGCCGCTCTGCTCTGTGAGGAGCTGGGCTGCCCCGTGGCACGTGAGGGATGCTGCCGCTGAGGGGACGTTCGTCCCTATGGAACAAACCCCGGGGTGGCTCTGAGAAGCAGCTCCTCCTCGGAGCTGACAGAGAGAGCCTGGGGGCAACCTCAGTGCCCCGGTGGGACTGGGGTTCCCAGTGCTGTTGTTGCGAAGCCGAGACCCCAAAGGCCATGGGTGCTGCAGCTCTGTGTGAGGCAGGGCCTGGGCTGGGAGCTGCGCTTGGTGCCTCAGCAAGGCCAGCACTGAGTCACCACTGCCGAGCTCGGGCACTTGCAGCCTGGTGACTTCATCCCCTGAAAATAGCAGCCAGGAGGGAGATGTCTCCCTGCCACAGCCGTGCCCCTGCGAACAGACAGGCATCGCGGCTGCCCGCGGCCTGGCCCCCTGCCCAGCACGCGCTGGGGGGCAGCTGGGGGAGGCCTCTTCAGCAGCGCCCTGAAAGCCCTGTGGTGGGAGCTGACAGCCCTTTGGTACCAAAACTCCTCTTTCAAACACTCAAACAGCTGAAGGCAAACAGCAGCGGGTCCTGCTGAGCAGGCAGAGCCACGTCCCGGCCCCAAAGCCTCAGACCAGGCCTGAGCCTCCTGGGGTGTGAGGATATGAGGCTGTGTCAGGCTGGAAGGAGGGGAAGGGAAGGGAAAGGGGAGGCCCTGAGCACCTCTGTGGTGCCACAGGCAGCCCTGTCTGCCTCCAGGGCTCTGCCGGGGCCTGAAGCCTGTCCTCCTGCATTCACTCCTGTGGCAGATGTGGCCGGACCACTGCATCCGCAAAGACCTCAAGGACATCTGCCCTGTGTAAAAAGTGGGGGCTGGGTGTAAGAAACAAGTGTGCACTGGGGTAAAAGGGTGACACAGCTCCCAGAGACAGTGCTGGGACTGTTTTTTAAATCCTCCTTGGCATTAACCCCTGAGGGGCAGAGGGAAAAAAAAAGCGCAAGTGATGGCCTATCCTGCAGTGTGCTTTGTGGGGTTTCCACCTTCCCAGCAACTCCCAAACACCCACCTGTGGGCACGGAGGGCTCGGATGGAACCGACAACCCCGTCCTGCTGCCAGGGCCAGCTCCTGCACCCCCTGCCCAGGCACTCGTCCGATCAGCCCCGCAGCCGGCCCTGGCCAGCACTGCCTCCATCGGCCACCCCTTCGGTGCCCGGGGCGAGCGGGAGCTCTGTAGCCTCTGGGCTGCGATGCCAGCACTGACTTTGCTTGTGCTGGGTGCTGTTTAAAGGTCAGAGGGGCTGGTGAGAGCAAGCTCAAGGCCTGCTGCTGTTCGGAGCTCATTTCTTGTTTGTCCACAGCTGATTTCGTAAGAAGGAAAGAAAAGCAGAGGCCTCCCCTGGAGCTGCTGCTCCCACCGTGTGGGCTCAGCACGGAGCAGCCGGCCTCCTCCTCTGCTGCTGGCCAGGGGCTGCTCCCCGCAGGGGCTGGCACACACGGCTTGAGCCTGCTTACTTCAATATTTTCCAGATCAGGGGCATTGCTGCCCACACGGGGCCCTGGGCTGGGGGTGCAGGATGAGGCTCGCTGGGCCCCTGGGGTCGGCACTTTGCCCTGGAGCA